TTTTTTTTGTTACGCAGCAGCCAGGTGTTGCAACGGTCCAATCAATGATGCGCGCCCGATGATAAACACATTCGAATCTGGGCCAACAATTCATATTACCGCAACGTTGTCATAGCGGGTGCATCTCAGCAACTGTGGCACGCCGTGGCATCGGCTACGTTATTGCTACACGAGCAATAATAAATCGTCGATTTAGCAACGTTCTTTCAGCAATCAGTGAGAGCGCGCTAACTGTCGAGCGTGGTTCGTGAACATCGAGCGCGTATGTACACCGAGCGCGAGAGGGAATTGAAAACGTGAAAAGAAAAGAAAAGAAAAGAGGACGAAATGATAGGGATCCTACGAACGTACCCACGTGGCCCCAAAGATAGAGAATACGTGCGTTTATCTGGGATCGAACGGTTCAATGGGGAACCGTGCATTCCCACATTCACTTATTGGAACGCAGAAGCGGCGAAAAATTCACGTGTTCCACTAAAGCCACGTTTCCATTGGGCAACATTGGTCGGACGACTGGTAGAGGAAAATTGAAAAGAATTTCCCATGAATGAATGGCAACGAGCGAAGTATTTTTCTTTCTTCTTTTTCCTGTTGAGAAACGATTCCAAGGATGAAGACATCCGAAGAAATTTCGACTCACCTTGAGATACGGAAGAGAAATTCAATTAAAAGTTTTTTTGCGAAAATTTCATCGAAATTGTCCCGATATTGAAGAACGACATACAGTTAAAAACTATAAGAAAGACGACTTTTAATTGAACTTTTCTCTTACATCGTGTAGATACAATTTCGCAAATGTCTGTGTAGATACAATACGCAAAATCAAGACTCGGTCGGAGATATATTATGCACAGGGGACAAAATTCTTCACGGTCAATTGCGTTCGCGCGAAACGCCCCGATGTCGATCGAAACAGCTTCTGATCGTTTAATCGGTCAATCAACCTGTATTCCGCGTATTTCTTCCTCGAACTTCGTCGGTCCTTTCAGCCGAGTACGTACGTAGCTGCCGAATGGAAACGTGGCTTAAATGACGATCGTTTGGAATAAAGTGGAGCGCCGCGACAGAAATCGATGCATCATATCTCGGTTCTTCCAATTTGCAGCGTCTAACGCCAGGCGAATGAATTAACGCGGGCAGATACGTGCAATCGGCCGGCTGTAGATCATAGAGTCGACGAGAAGATCGAGTAAGAGGAGGGTACGTGCACCGGCGATCGCCGCAATAATATCGTCGATTTGCTAGATTGCACGCTGTTCGTAGAAGCTTGCATCCATCCAGTATCTGTACTCGATCAACGTGATACCGATCATTTTCGCGAACGACTTCGTAGACGTAGGCAGATCGTGTCCTCGGCCTAGAAATCATCGCCGGTCGTCATCCGTGCTCCGTATATCGCAACAGGTCAGAGCGAAACGTGTTCCGGGCAAGTGCTTGCCTAAGTAGCGACATTAAGCCGTGCTCACCCATGCGGCCGTTAGGCTCTTAATCCTAATTTGGCCGACGCTCTATGGCTTTCGACGAACCTCTGTCGGTTGCGCAAAGAGAAAAAGAACGTGGTGCAAGATTTATATTAATCCGTCCGCGATTGTTAAGGAGGCATGACAGTGTGACGGGCCTAGAAATTATACTATAATTAAAAATATACTATAATATACTGTAGTATGATAATTATAAAATTAGACTGTATTATAGTATATACTATAATATACTATAATAACAACTATAAAATTTTACTATATTATAATATATACTATAATAATAACTATAAAATTAGACTACATTATAGTATATACTATAATATACTATAATAACAACTATAAAATTAGACTATATTATAGTATATACTATAATATACTATAATAATAACTATAAAATTATACTATAATTAAAAATATACTATAATATACTATAATATAAAAATATACTATATACTATAATTAAAAACATACTATAATATACTATAATATAAAAATATACTATGTATACTATAATTAAAAATAATATAATTTATTTTATTATGATATAATTAAAAAGTATACTTTGGAGGGCTAGTGAAAAGCAAACTACACATTTGATTGACACGAGCTTTTGTAGTTTATTTTAACACATTACGAACTGTAAAAGGCAACATTAAAAAAGAAAGAAAGTGGGCTCTTATTTGACTTCGGCATTCTTTTACACAACTTGTTTTCACATTGCCTATCGATGTGCATGATTCCAGCTAGACAGGATTAGCTGCAACAAAAGGGCAGAAAATGTTCAAAAGTAAACAATATCCTCTAGGGATTGACGATCCAACATTTTCATTTTTGTGAAAATTATGAAAATAGCAGTTATTTGTTTTTGACGTTACGAATTTATCCCAAGAATTTCTACGTTTTTTGTTTATATTTTTCGAAATTATTAGAAATTAAGAAATGTTCGATCATCAGCCCCTAGTAAATGTTACTTACCAAGTTTCACAGTAATCGAATTCCGAGATATCTTACACACCGTTTCTAAAAACCTAGTTTCGAGAAAAACGCGTTTAAAGTTTCAGAGCATCATTTTTCGTACATATCCTTCACTTTTTCTTTTTACTTATGTATCGCGGCTCACAGTTCTTACGATTCGCAACTAAATTGAACCCAAGTCCCCTAATATTCGATTCACCAAAAGTAACATTTGAATCGCACGAATTACACTTTATAATACTGCTTAAAGTAATTGTAAAGAGTTGATGCAAATCCAATTATTCTGTATCCACGGTTTTATTATTATACCCCTAAGATAAGTCGTTTTAAAGGCTAGGATCTCTTCTATCTTATTTCTTAAGACTTGAAACTACTATTTAAAATAAAACAAGAAAAATCGACTTTTTGAAAATTTCATACTGTCCTGACTCCTTAAACGAAACGGGGATCATCTTCGTTGAAACGTCAAAGAATCTGTATGGGAATTGGTATGGATAATCGATTGTAAATATATTGTTACTCCATTGACACATAGTAATGTCAGTAAATGAAAACTTACTTGAACCGCGTTTATATTTCATTACACTTTACATTTACACGTGTGAACTTGAACCGACAGACCTGATGGAAATTTATATTCCGCACTGGTAACAATTCTCGTGTTTGTTTCTCGTTTGACAGAGAAAATTGCTCGATTTGATTGAGTATTATAATTTTTTCATGCTGAATATGCCTGCGATTAATTAGAATGTTCAATGAGTAGTACGAGTTACGCACATCGATCAATTAAATTTAAAACAGATAATTTTGGTAGAGAATAGAATCCTGTTAATTGTTTAGAGTACTGTCCAACAGGTTCGTTCAAAATGCAGACAGCGTTCCGCTAATCACTTTCCTACCCGGATAGATCAACGTAGAGTAACTTTCGGCGTCGTCCTGCATTCGCCTCACGGCTACAATAAACTGTCCAAGATTTGACTGTGACGGCGATAAACTAAATTCGGCATCGAGCAGCTAAAAGAGACAGTGACACGATACACCTCTCGCATCCAATTTAAACATGCAAATCGCCGTTCAACGGCGATCCCGGAAAACCATTATGCAAAGTTATTCTTCTCCCTCTGAAGAAAGAAGCCGAAACTTTTCCCTCGTCGTGGACGACGTGCAAGAGAATGGGAAGTTGCCCCGCTTCAAAAGGGCACCCTTTGAAAAGTTCACGTCCAACGAGCGGCCGGCTACAGCCAAAGAATAATCTACATAAATATTTAATAAAGTGACGAAACGTCGAATAACTGGTACGCGATGAGTATGCACGCCGGTGCCTCGGGTGATCGTCGTCATCTCCCCGATCGCTTCTTCCATCAGCTATGACATCAAGGCCGCCGCCGCCGCCGCCGCCGCGTCTGCTGGCAATTTATCATAACGAGAACTTTAAATTCGCGACACGGCACAGGGAAGGAACGGGGGAGGAGGAATAGAGAAAGGGAGGAACAAAGAGACGAACGAGGTTCAAGAGGGAAAAAAAGGAAAAAAGAAAAAGGCCTGACCAGGGTCAACGGCGACGACACCACGACGCGTCTCTTCGCCCGAGATCCTCCACCCGAGGTCTTCTCATCCCCTCCTGTTTGTCTCCTCCCCCCCTGTCATTCAGCCCCACACTCGCTCCCCCCCTCCCCCCTCTCCCATCAACGTTCGCTGAAGAACGTCTTGCCTACCTGGTAGCATCCTCTTGCACCGTTGGCGAGGACTTTCTCCGAAAGAGTGGCTAACTATATAAGCGAGATCGGCGATGTTTGATGCACGTTAGACGAAATCTCACGGATGCGTCAAGCAGGCCACGTCGCCTCCGCGCCTCTAGCTCACACACACAGTTGATTGTATTCTACATCCTACGTACTTGCTGCGTTAAACGCTGGTGAATCGTATCGAGAGGCCCTCGCCGAGGGGTGAACGGACAGTTCCGTGCATGTGAGAATCGGCTTCGGCTGTACATCGAAGCTACGTCAACCACTACGGGGTTGTGGATCATGAGGCCCGCGAAAACCTGGGCCACCCTGGCAGCGACCGTGCTCGCCACGGCCCTGCTCCTGCAGCCTATCTACGCCGAGGGTAAGATCCACAGATTGAACACCAACACGCTAGGGAGATGAGAGTATTGTAAATTTTAAATTGATAAAGTCGTAAAATTTTTAACACTAGAACTACCAACGACTGAGGCATAACGTCATTCATCAGTGACACTGACAAGTCTAAGAAACAGAGAAACTTTATAATACAATGGACCTGTACAGATTTGTATATCTTGCGAAAAATTATTTAAATCCTTAAAAGTACAGTGTTTCACGTCCACAAGGTATCTAACAAAAATTATAAATTGATCACTTTGACCAGTTTGGTGGCTCTGGTGTTAATAAAGTAATAAAGTAAAATTTTAAATCGGGAAAACAGGGATATCCAGAATTCGATATAGTAAAATTAGTATTGATACCAGATTGCGTTATTTCCTCGTAACTCGTAACTGAAGTCGTCTCGCAAAACGATTAGACTCGATTAATTTCACTGTAGAACAATGTAAAAACACGCGTCGACAAGCACACGATGCACTGAGACAATCGTTTCAACTATCTGCCGCTAGTTTTCTTGTAGCACGCCAGTTACGCTTACGAGTTTGTCTCGTAAAGCGAAAAGCGTGCCTTAATGACCAACGATTGAAGTGGCGCGAGGCGAAAGTGTAACAGTAACGGGACGTTGGATCGTCGTTTCATTATCCCTGGAAACTACTCGACGGGAGAGAAGTGCGTCGAAGCACGTAGAAAGTCGAGAGTCAAACGGGGGAGAAGGGAAGGGAACTAGAGAAAAAAAAAACCTGGGAAAGTTTCGAAAAAAAAAAAAAAGAAAAGAAAAGAGAGATAACGACGAGCGTGATAACGCGATACTCGCGATTAGCGGAACTGTCACTTTACACCTGATCGAAAGAGCCAGGTGAAAGATAAATTTCACACGATCGGTTTCTCCTCGTCCTGGCGTTCGCCGGTGAATAAAGATCGGGCGAGAAATTGACAAATCAGGACGCGGAAGAGAAAAAAAAAAGAGAAGTAGAAATCGTTGGTCGCTGCCTCGGAGTAGCTGCGAATGAAATATTCAAAGGACGAAACGACGTGAATTATCGATACGCTTCGTCGATCAAGTCGCACGTAATTGTGAGCCAGTGTGTGAGAATCGAACGAACACATAGCGGATTGACACACTTCTTCTTCGGTGGGAACGAATATAGACTGATTCGGTCGGATTAAAATTAGTTTCGTCGCTTAATCGTTGAAGAGAAGAGACGATTAATTTATATCTCGCGCGTAATCTTGCAACGTGATAATGAAACGAAGAGAGATATGTAGAAGCACGGCTGAGTTTTCGACTTTAATCTCACTTTGTGATTAAAAGGTGCTGTCGAATGTGTAACTTTCCGAAGAGAGAATAATATTTCCGACGAGTAAAATTCCAAATGATGTGGAAAATTCCTAATTCTGGTAGCGTGGAATTAATTAGCAAAAATAAAAGCACAGCTCTTCTGTAAAAAAAAAAAAGCAGAAATCTTCGTAAACCTACATTTCGCAGTAAAACACTTGTATTCCTCAATACTAGTAGAATTACGTATCGATGATAAAATACGAGGCAAATGTGTAATTCAGTTATTCACATGGTTGCTCTGGCGAAATCAAAGTTGTCGATATAATTTCTATTTCGATATCGTCAAGCAGTCTAATTAATGATAATTGAAAATATCGAGATCGGCTAGCTTCTCAGTGGTAATCGTTACGATCTGCTTGCGATTTTATTGCAGTGCATTTTGTTGTTTTATCTCGAAGGAAATTTTTCATGAATATTAATCGCGCGAGTACTTCCGCGCTTGCCCAATCAAATATTAAAATTTCACTTTACGTAAGAAACTGTATTATTTATTACGCCATTAATTGCGAGGAATTCGAATTCAAAGCGAAATCTCAAACTGTATAAAACATTTTCGTTTAATTCTCGTTTCACGCGAGAAAATTGTCCAGTTGATCAAAAATATAATTTATTCAAATAAATCATACAACTTGTTTAATTAAATGATTAATCGTATGAATTATTCAAGGTAAATTAAATTTATGGAATTATTTAAGGTAAATGAAGTAAAAATTTAGAGGAAACAAACCAGCATGAAATACGGGTCAATAATTATATGCTAATAGGCAAATTTGTGGTAACTCGAGAAATAAGTTATTAAGCGAACCTTGAACATTCAATTACGAATATTCTTCCGGCAATGCTCTGACAGGCAATGAGACAATAAGGGACAGTGGAGGGAAGTTCAGTCACGAACTTGATTAAAGACAATGCGAATGGATCCGTGGCTCTTGACCTCGGCAATTTCAAAGGTAGTGGTATCTCAGCAGATTCGACGAGAAGGTTGTAGATGAGTTTAGAGAGTACAGTGTGAAGTTGTAAACTACGGTCACACGGGATAATCATGAAAACCAAGTTATTTAGAGATCTCCCACACTTTCACCGACTAATGATGAATACAAGGACAAAGAGAGACCAACAGAGTCTTTGATTTTGTTAACGTTCTACTGCTACAATTTTTAGAATCTACAAAGCCAGAAATTTTTAAATTAATTCTCCCTGGTATATGTAGCTGGAATAACGCAGCCCAGTTTCATGTAAAAAGAAAATGAAAATTATTCCTATAGAGCATAGGGATCTAGTAATATAATTGAAATTTCATCTATATGTCATTACAATTGCAATGTCTTGTTATATATTGTATATTACAGTCTAGCGATATATTTGAAATTTTAATACAAATATTAGAATATTTATATTAAGTCTTTATTGACATGAACATTATATTAGGCAAAAGAAGCATGGAATACTTGAAAATTGTACTGAATACTAAATTCAATTGTATCAGTAAAATTGTGTTGAATACTAAAACTAAATGCAATGGTACCTTTTGAAACTTTACATAGACTGAAAAGAGAAGAGCAGGATTAAACATACACCTCGCTGCAAATATTACAATCCTAAATATTGCACTACGTGTGTGATCAATATAAGAGACAAGAGAGATTAATAACAAGTCATATTAAAATAAAAATAAAAAATTACAATCGAAACAACTTCATGTTAAAATAATAATCCATCGTAAACTGTAACACTTGGCGATCCTCGCGGATTCTCTTGGGGTTCTCGCGCAAAGGTTGGAAGCTTTAGATAGAAATATAAAATAAATACAAACGAATGTATAAACGTCTATACTATTTACAGCACCAATCTCGGGTAGCTACTTACCACCATCAACAAGTTATGGGACGCCGAACATAGGAGGCAGTGGCCCATCCTCGACCTATGGTGCACCGTCCACCGGTGGTGGTGGTGGTCGTCCATCTTCAAGCTATGGTGCACCACCATCCAGTAACTACGGTGCACCACCATCCAGTAGCTACGGTGCACCACCATCCAGTAACTACGGTGCTCCGCCATCGAGTAGCTACGGTGCTCCACCATCGAGTAGTTACGGCGCTCCATCTGGTGGAAGGCCATCCAGCAGCTACGGAGCACCATCGAACGGTGGTGGCAGACCATCATCGAGCTACGGTGCACCATCGGGTGGCGGTGGAAGACCATCCAGCAGTTACGGCGCACCTGGAGGCGGCGGTGGCTTCGGCGGTGGTGGAATCTCGTCAAGTTACGGTGCACCATCACGCGGATCATCGATATCAGCTAGCTACTCAGCACCAATTTCCGGAGGTGGTGGTATCTCCACTAGTTACGGCGCACCAACCGGAGGCGGCGGTGGTGGTGGATACTCGAGACCATCATCGACTTACGGTACACCTAGCACCGGTGGTGGCAGTTTCGGAGGGTAAAAACATTTTTTTTTTTACAATATTTTTTTTTTTTTCTCTTTCTCGCTACTTGGACAAAACAGCGGATAGTTTAGAACGAGCACCAACGCCTACTATCGCACGTTGACCCTACCTGCAGTTCTCTACTGAATCTCTGTGTTCTCTCTCTCGAGAAACACTTTGTACTCGACTATGAATTTGATTGCAGTTCCGGTGGATATTCTGGAGGCGGAGGTGGATACTCTGGAGGCGGTGGTGGCTACTCTGGAGGCGGCGGTGGTTACTCGGGGGGCGGTGGCTACTCTGGAGGTGGAAACGGTGGATACTCAGGCGGCGGTAGCGGCGGGGGCGGATACTCGGGCGGTGGTGGCGGCTATTCCGGCGGCGGTGGAAACGGTGGCTACTCCGGCGGTGGTGGAGGCTACTCCGGCGGCGGCGGCGGCGGTGGTGGCTACTCTGGAGGCGGCGGAGGTGGTTACTCTGGAGGCGGTGGTGGCTACTCTGGAGGAGGCGGAGGTGGTTACTCTGGAGGAGGTGGTGGTTATTCCGGAGGTAACGGCGGCGGTGGTGGCTACTCGGGCGGCGGCGGCGGTGGCGGTGGCTACTCCGGAGGCGGTGGAGGCGGTCAGAGCTACGCTAGCAACGGAGGTTACCAATATTAATCGTAAAAAGTCTTCATCTCGCGCGACGACGACCTTCGACCATGTTTCACCATCGATCATCGACCACCATCGAACGAGTCGAAAGAGTTCAAACGCATCGACGTTCATCGCGTCGCGGCCCAAGAAACGCAACAACACCGTTCACGGTGGCGAGCTTGCAATTAGCCAGACGAATGGAACATCAGCCGACGAGACGGGAAGGAACGAAGCGGAATCGGAGGTCGTTCTCGTAAATCTTCATCCCCGAAGCGTCCAGGATCCGTATTAAAAGTTTAACAGAGAGAGACGCGGTGAGAAAGCCGCCGCTTTGGAGGAAAATTTGCAGTGTGTTTTTCGCGGCAGGCGTAGTTCTGAAAGCAGACAGAAGAAGGAAAACGGACACCGAGAAACTGAGATCTAGAAGGTTCAAGGGACAGAGTGAAACTTTCCTTACCTATCTTCTACCACCGCTTGCTCTTAGGAAGCCGTCTGCCGGTAATATCTACCATCGAAATCCATTCGAAAAGGAGCGAAGGTCTTGCGAGAGAAACAGGGAAAATTGGAAGAGAAGAAGGAAAGAGAAAGGTGACACGAAGGAGAATTCGTTCCTCGTTCAGAGCCTGTAACTTATTTATTTTGTAAAAAAAAAAAAAAAAAATATGCTTTTTGTACTAATAAAGCCGCTACGCTGGAAAAAGAAACGTGGACGTTGATGGAAGTTCATTGCGACACGACCTACCCAACTTTGCATAGCTGGAATATAAAAACCGGCGGTTTGTATATGTAACGTGTAAGACGATTGAGCTCGTCGTAGGGTTAGTTGGGCGGCGTAGTCGGTCGGTCGATTTATCGATTCCCTAACTCGAATACCGGGAAGGCATGAATAAGTAAGAGCTCTTTCTATTTCTGTCGTAACCTAGCTAAAAACGCGTATCAATATCGGGACCCAAAGCTCCTACGTCGGTTCGCTCGAATTATAACAAAAAGCCGTGTCTGTCCTGACCTATTTGCCGCTCCCTCGCTGAAATAGACGATCAACGGTTGGACAATCGCGCGGTTCCGAAGAGTTTAGGCTCGTTTCTAAAAAAAAAAAAAAAAAGAAAAAAAGAAAAGGCAAAGATATCTTTCTGAAAAATAAAAATAAAATCAACAATCAGAGACTGAGAATATTTCGCCGGGGAAATAATTTAAGGTATTTAGCGGAGCAAAGTAAATCTCTGCGTGGGTTTTACTTCTCCAATTTATGAAAATATAAAATAGTAAAAGTGTAAATTTGTATAAATATCCAAAATATAAATTAGCAGCCTACCAGCGGTCTGCTAATCTGAAATACGGCCTTTCTCAATTTCTCGCTTTCCAGAGGAATAAGACAGAGAGAGTCTAGAAAATAAGAGAATTGCAACAGATCTGGCTTTTTCGTACACTTTTTATTTTTAACATTTACAATCAACATCGCGTTCAGTTTTTCAATTATACACGTATAATATGTCGTATAATACAGTACCGGTAACGCTTTCGTAATACATATACATGGATATGCTCTTACGGGGGTAAGTCGGGCATTTTTTCTTCTGTTTTTTTTTTTTTTTTCTTTTTCTGTTGTTTTTACACATAATAATACTCTATGATAGGTAGGCGTCCCAGGCTTGCGAGATAGGACGAAAGTTACAGTAACATTAGGTACGCGATTCCGTTAATCAAAGCAGGCGAGTAGTTGTAGAACATTGCGTTCCCCGTGACGCTGGATATTATTATTATTAATATTATTATTATTATTATTAACGAATTCGCATCACCAACCAGCTTTATTGAACCTCTCGTGTTCGGCGTTTAGCCAGCCTATCGTTCGCATAGTTTTTTTCTTCTTTTTTTTTTTTTTTTCTCCTCTATTATATTTTATTTCATTTTTTTCTTTTTTTTTTCAATTTTTTTCTCGGCTTTTTATTTCGCAATCCACGTAACGCTTATGTGTCCTCCACCGGGCAGATCGCTGGGAGTAGTGACACTCGAAAATTAAGGAGAAATTAGGGAGACACTCGTTTGCTCGCAGAAAATGGAGAGGGTCCCCCTAACTCTGTGAAGCTACGAACCCATCGATCCCTTTTTGCGAGAGGATAACCACGCTATATATATATATATATGTGTGTATATATATATATTTAGTACGTATATACATGTCTTACATATTGTTTTCTTATGTGGTTTTTTTTCTTTATCCTTTCCTGCGTATATTTCTTTACCTTACACGCTAATGTACCTAATACAAGTATGTAGAGCACGTACCGTGATATGTATAGGTTGTCTGTCCGTTTACGTCGTGGTAACTGATATGTATGTGACCGTGGCTGTTTCATGATCTCGACACTTAAACGCCACTAAGAAATATGTATAACGGATCTTATCGTATGGATTCATCTACGCAACAATATTCTTCCTTCTTTCCCCTTATGCGATACGTAATCACGGTATCCGGGACGATTGTTAATCAACGAAACAAAGGGCGTCGTTAACCTGTCAACTCGAGGGAGTGATCCTTTTTCTCGGTTTTGAAGTGTTTCTTACGTGGATCAACACACCACGGGATCGAGCAACTTTTTACAACAAAGTAAAAAGTGGCTGGTGATTTTCGATTGAAAGCGACTTCGTCTGTGTTACTTAAGACACTACCGAGAGAATGATTTCAATAATAATCTCAAAAAGTATAATTGATACCCTCGCTAAATGCATCGCCTTCGGTTTTTCGCGTCGCGCCAGGTAGAAAAGTCTTTCAACGGCGAATTAACTTGAAACCGAGCAGTCTCTACGATGTTGCGATTCTTTTTTTTTTTTCTCTCTCTTTGCTGGCTTTTGCCCGGCTAATTGTTCCATCAATCTGCGCAATCGTGCAATTTCAATCGCCTCCGCGACTCTGCCTCTCGTCGTAAAAAGGAAGATAGCAGCTGTGAAACGTAATAACGTCAATTCCGCCATCGGCAGCGGACAGCTCGAGCAGCTTGACTTAACCAGCCAGCTCATCGCTCTCAGACGTGATCGCCGAGTGAAAGTTCTCTGTCTGTTAATGGCAAAACGAAAACACACGGATGATGCGCGTGTCTGCGTTTGTACGCTCGCGGGAAACGTCTCTCTCTCTCTTTCTCTTTCTCTTTCTGTCATTTGTCTAGGTGTAATTTCACCTGCGCCGTCGTCGTGCAAAGACGCCTCGCTTAACAAGCCGACGCACGTTAAAAAGCTACTTCCGTCCGGAACTGACGTCGCCTGTTTTCTACGACGTTGGAAACAGAAAAGGAGACTCATCCCGGAGAGTCGACAGGTTAAACGAATAATCTCACGAGCGCGTTGCTTGCTTCTCGTTTCGTTCTCGATCGGCACGGCCGATTGTGTGTAAAACGACCAAGCTTGTTAAGGGGGTATATTCTACTGTGAGCTGCGTGTTCTTTTTTTTTAACTTTGTTAGGGAATTGCTTGCAAAGAAACTACTATACCTTTCGCCAAATAGTCAAATTAGCAAGGTTTATTTGTACGTGTTTCAACGACGTTTTAAAATTCTTCTGGGACAAAAAATTGAGAGTGACATACTCTCAAACATAGTCGCTTTTAAAAAAGGTCGTCTCATGGTGTCCATGATTCCGGCCATTCTGCTCGTCGGAAATAAAAAAGAAAACGTGAATGTTCCTCAATTAGTATGAGTTTGGCTATAGCAGGTACCAGAGAAACGAAAAGAAAAGGAAGAAAAGGAAAGGTAAAAGAAAAGGAAAGAGTCGGTAATTAAAAAAAGTGGCGATACTTTGAAGTTCGATTATCGATTTTTGCATGTTTTTGTTAAACTTCGGAAGGCTGAAAAAAAATATAAAAAATAAAATTTTTTGGTTGCTTCTGGTAGGGGCTATAGTCACACATGTACTAAATGCGTGCTTAAAATTTTGAGTCAATTGGTCAAGTAGATTTTGAGATATCATGGACAAACATAGTTTCTGAAAAAACATAGTTTCCAGAAAAATGCTTTTAAAGTTCAGTATTGCGGTAACAATGACGCTGGTCCGTCGCGTCCTTCCAAACAACCATAATTTCGTTAATTTTAAGACTTCACGTGTAAAGTGACAGAAATTTATTTATGAAACCATGTCCTTTAAGAATATGCAAAATAAAAAAAAAAAAAATCGGTTTCTTCAAAAGTACACACTAGTTCATACCCCCTTAATTAATTTTTACCAAACGCAGAAAACGTCGAATGACGAGCGAGAATTTACTCAACTCCTCTCGGGCGGCGACGACACGTTCGTCAAAATAATTGTCTAAAAATAATTTGCCAACGATCTCTTTTTTTTCTTTTTCTTCTTCTTCTTCTTCTTTCGTGTGCGTGATTCGCTCGAATCGCGTAAAATGATAGCAATCATCGATGGGCGTGGAGAACCTAGAGAGAGACTATCTAAACTCTTCAAAGTGAGACGAAAGAACTCGGACGCGGCAAGTGTGACTCGTGTGGTTAAGGAAAATTTGCGCGCTGTTCGTTCCGTGGGAGAATGCTTTTTTTCATTTCGTATCGCGGTTCTGGTTTTATCCATGAATAAATATTAACGAAAACGATAGGTGAGTTTTTTTCTTTTTTTTTTTTTTTTTTTTTTTAAAATTTTAATTTTTTTTTTTTTTTTTTTTTTTGTTAAAATTTGTTCCTGCTGCGTTCCTCTTCGATTGTACTTCGTCGTCTAACGAAACTTTCGACGGTCAAAGGAGGATAAATTCAGGGACATGGGAAAACACTGTGAAATTCGGAGACTGAATAGGAACTACTCGCTTAACAATTGCACGCACACTCTTTCTCTCTCTCTCTCTCTCTCTCTCTCTCTCTCTCTCTCTATCTATCTATCTCTCGATCTCTCTGTTACACATTTTTCCCTTCTTTTTTATTTTTCTTTTTGGCGGTAAACAATGGGATGAGCAACTATCGTACAATGAGCGGTAATTTCAACTACGTAGGCGTTACCGCGTGGCCCTGGCTACGTTTAAACAATATATACTACTCGATAAACCAATCCGTCGAAATCAACCAACGAGCGTCGATAATTCGTATCAGCGAGATTATATAAACTACGATGTTAGTCTTTTTTTTGTGTGTATGTGTGTGTGTATGTGTGTGTGTGGTGTAAACATGCATATAATACGCATCGAGAGATCTAACTTCCTTTCTCCTCTGTTCGTCACTACATACTCAAATTCATTCGTCTCATTTTAATGCCAGTAATGTCAATTATATCATACACTGTATATATATATATTTATATATACTATATAATAAACACAACGAATCCGTGCTACGACCGATTCGTCTTGAACGATCTTTCGTTGCCTCACGTGTCCTGCTTGAACGACTTGGCACAGCAATTCGCACTGTTCAACACGCGATTATGCTCGAAATCGCTATAGTTGAATATTACTAGGAAATTTTTCTTCTTTTTTCTTTTTTTTTTTTTATAATTCCGATACGACCTTATTGGATATCACGACCGACGTTACTTGCACGATATTTTCGAATCTTTCGGCCACGGTTCATTGTTCTGCAACTTGACTCTTCGAGGTTCTTCCTTTCTTCGTTCACTGTCGCCGAGAGTTTTAGATTCAAGTTTCAATCGAAAAGTCATGGCTCTGTGTCACGGCGAATCAAATGACAATCACACCGATATAAAAATATCATTTGGAGAAAGAAACTTTCTCCCTAACGAGGTTAAAATGTCAGCACGGCGAAAATTAAAAAAAAAAAAAATTACACGAGCAAATCACACGGTGACAAGAAAGTTTCAGATACCGTGCTCGATCTCTCGAATTACCGTCCGTGCATCGGTAAAGCGAAGTTCACAGGTCGCTCGATCCTCAGGTAGCTTCACGCGTGAGCTCACGAAAAATCTCGAGCAGCTTCACGAGCGGCTACGCGTGGACAAGCTAATCTACAAACATCTAAATTCACTTTCGTTTTTTTCGTCTCTTCTTTTTTTTTTTTT